AACCAAGTCAGAATTGGTAGCAAAACCTTCTGCTCTCCCACACATCTAGAGTCCTTTCATTTTCCACCACTTATTCTGCCGTTTCTCTCGAATGAATTAGTGCAATAGATTTGTAATTGCTCCCTGAGCTTCTGCCTTTGAGCTCTTATTCTTGTTAACATGTTAGACAGATTATAAGAGTCTAAAAGCATTTGCAGGAAGACATTCTCATGAAATGTGAAAGTCAAAGTTTTCAAACGTCCAAACAAGCTCAGTATGATCGGATAGTCTCATGTCTTGCCCATCTGCCTTCATTATACTTGATAGAGCAAACTAGCCTGTTATTCTTCAACGCGCTAAACACAAAACCTGTTTTTGAACTTCTAACTTTAGCTCTCATAGTCTTTTCCTAGATACTTCTGTGACTTTTTGTTTCCATACGTATTTACTAAGTGTGTTACTCTGCCAGTTTATATTTCTTTGACCATATTAATTAAAGTTTCTCACATCTCCAGCACTTTTGATCTTGCTTCTTGTCCTTTTCCCTTTTTAATATTTATTATTCTTAATCATAAAGTACTTTACTTACTTTACTGTTTTTAACTGACAATTCCCTTCAATTTTTTTGTAGGGTCTATGAAGGTGTGAACTGATGTGTATGTTGTTCATAATTGAATTCTGAGGGCTTCCAACAGTGCTTGTTGCAAAATGGTTTACTCAATAAATGTTTACTGGACAAATGAGAAAGGCTAATAAATTTGATATATCCTTTACTGAACTATTTGGAGTTTATCTTTTATAAATTTCTTGTATATGAATAGCACCTGGGATGATATGCTGTGCAGTCAAGTAATAATAAATTGAGTCACAGCACATTTCTACCATATATCTCCTATTGAATTTCTAATGAGTGTGTAATATTTGACCTACCCAAACTGAACTAAAATATCTGTATGTAATTATGATCTATATGATAATTTATTTCAAAATGTGCTTTCTTAGGTATCTGTACTGCATTATAACCTACACTTATATTAGAAATCCATATGCATGTGAGCCTTCTATCGACCGAGTCATCTTTCTCCTACAAGTGTTCTGCATGCTTTAGATCAGTGTCTCCAGCACCCAGGGCGAGGAACTGTATCAGTTCGTGTCCTGTTGTGAACTGGGCAACACAACAAAGTTGAGTTGCCTGCAAGCCAGCAAAGCTTCATCCCTGTTTATTTACTTATTTACTTTGGTCCTTTTGTGACAGGATCTCTCTAGGCAGTTCAGGCTGGCCTTGAGCTCACTATTGTAGCTCAAACTCCCAGCGATCCTCCTGCCTCATCCTCTTGAGTGCTTGGATTCAGGCATGAGCCACCATGCCTGGCTCATCTTTGTTTATAGCTGCTCCTCATCTCTCATGTTACTACCTACATTCCTTCTCTTGCCAGAGCAGAGGAAGCATTAGATTCCCTTTCTTTCCCATTTTTGTTTTTCATTAGTACATGTTTGTGGTACATTCCTTGTGGGAAACTGGAAGAAATTACATATAATTCTTTCTTCACCCTCTCCTAGAGGAGCCCTGCTCTCAACTGCTCATGGAAAGAGTTGCTTATGTGCATGTTTGTCAATCACTTCCCAAACCATTCCTCACCACACCGCCCTCCTCCACCTACATTATCTTCCATAAAACTTCTCATGGTCCCTGTTGGTGAAGAGGTTGGAGTTAACCTCTATAGATTCATTTTCTTGGATTTTGTTACATCTCTCATATCAGAAGGGTATTGAAGCAGTAGGGTTTTGAAGAGTATGTTTTGAGTTATCAGGCATGGATAATTCTAGGTTTATTGCTTTCTGAGTAATTGACAAAATTTTAACTTATCAAACCCCTTTTTAATGTTTGTAATACAGAGATGATAAATGATAGCTACATCTCAAGGTTTTATAAGGATTATTGATATACATATGCCACACATTCAACAGACACATGAAGCTTCTGGGTCACATGTAAGGAGGATACATAATGTACAGAGAATATAAAATCTTCTAAAGGAATAAAGTATATTGAAAAATGTTTTTCATAACACATTATATTTAAAAATGGTTTTAAAAATAGTACACATTTGCAATTCATGCAGTTTACAGTCATTTTGGAGAGTGGTTCCATGTACCTTTTACAGCTTGTTTCTTTCTTTTTAAAATTTCCTTCCTTCTCCCTCCTTCTGTGTTTCTCTATCTCCTCTTTCATACTTGTTGATGTTATTTGTCTTAGCTCATGTTATGGCATATTGTATTTACTTTAATTGTAGCTATTAGGTTCTTGTGCAAAGACATCTTTTATGCTTATCTCCCTTTCCCCTTCCCTCTTGTCCTTGTTCCCTTTTATTACATCCCTAATGCAAGAGATTCATTCTTTTGTCCCTTTTTTCCTCCATTTATCATTTTTTCATTTGACCTTTGCCTCACTCAAATGAGAGATACCAAGATTGTTTGTCTGATTTATTTCTGTATGTTTTTTTCTGGGCAATATAAAAGCCTCTGCAGATCTCTGAATAGTGAAGTGCGTGCAGCATTCTCTTGGTTTCTCTGACATTATATACACTGACTTTCCCTTATGTTCTTGTGTGCCTCCTTTCCTCAGCTGGCTTTTCCAAAACCTGGCTTCTGAGTGTGGTTCAGCACTTAGCTTCATGGAGAAAGTCACAGTACAAATGTATCTTAAATGTCTGTAAAAAAAGTGAATGAATAAATAGTTGGGGCATTAAGGAATGCTACTGATCATAATTGATTGTAATTTCAGTACACATCATTATACTTCTTTATTATATCAGTTTCTTTCACCCAGTAATTCATAGATCTTTCTTGAATGAATGAATGAATTTACATATACAAGGAAAACAGTCTTTCAGTATGTATATATATATATATATATATATATGTGTGTGTGTGTGTGTGTGTGTGTGTGTGTGTATGTTTATCAGTATTTAGAGTTCTCCTAAAACAACTTCCATAAAATACATGGATTAATATTTCATCTTCATAAATTTGATGGGTCATTTGTAGTTTCTTTTATCAATTTGATGCTTTTGCATAAAAACATTTTGTTATTCAACTTGCCCACTAATTCTGGGTTTAATTAGGAATTGTGTTTTCTTTGAATTCATATATTTTATCTGCAGTATAATTCACATGATCATGAGAATAAGCATTGCCTCAGGCCTTTGATCCAACATAAATTAAAAGCTTTGAGATAACTTATCCATGAGAAAATTAACAACATTCTTTGCATCCTTTGTTCCCTTTCTCTGGTATAAAATATTTTTTTCTTATACATTGCCAAAGACCTCATTATTCTGAAACATCTAGTCATTGATGAGGTTTTTTTCATTTTTACTTTTTAATTTTTTTTAGTGTTTGGCACTATACAGAGGGAATATTTCTCCGTTGCCATAGGAAACAGTAGGAGGAAACTGAAAATGAGGGTGGAATGATGATTAGAAATGTGATTCAAGTTCTATTTATTTTGTGTCTGGCTTGGATTTTTTGCAGACCTGATGATTTCTGAAACCACTAGTATTCTTTAAAGGCACGATAATTTGATAAATTCCTAAAGAAACATCACCTAATTGTAAGATAGTGCATATGAAGTTAGTCATTTTAAAACAACTAAAGATTCTTGGTTAGCAGAGAAGATAACATACAAAACAAGTCTCATACAGTTTCTTTAAATAATTTAAATCATTAACTTGTTATTTTTAGTTTACAAATTATACCAGATTTTCATGTAGGAAAATTGAAACAAAATCACCTTTTTCATAGGAATTTGAATGGAAATACATGACTATATTCATAGCTATACTAAATTTTTTCTTGGAAAGATAGTTCTAAACATGCATATTCTTGGTCCTTTGAGCCTTAGTGAGGTGGTAATTTTTTTCTAGATCAGGGCTAGGGAACTGATTACTGTGAATTTTATTACAAAGCTTTGTAATTACTTTGAAGGCTCTCTGGAGAACCAAGTGGACTACATGAGAATTTTCTGTGCTCATCACCTAGCCACAGAATGCCCTTGGTTTTTAACAGCAAAAACTATCTTGAAAAATATGCATATATACCCCTTTTTAATGTACAAAGTATTTACATAGTTGACATATTGATTCCCATAAGGGAAACCTACTATATATTATTCTCATTTATGAGATGAAGATATTTCAGTACTGAGATGTTAAACAATTTACTGATATTTCTAAAAGCATAACTTAGGTTTCAATGTATTATTTTCTTCAAAATTGGTACTCATCTCACTATTACTTGCTGCTTATTGTAGGGAATTTTTCTTATACAATTCGTCAAAATTGAAATACTCATCTCCTCATTTATCTTTGTTGCATCTACCTATTTATTAAACAAATGCTTATTTATTTCTGGGAAGACTATTCAGTTTGCTTTACTTTGTATTCAGAAGAGTGTATGGGTTTTGTTTTGTTTTATTACTTGTCAGTGCTATGAATGGAATCCAGGTCCTTATGCATAGTAGGAAAGTGTTGTCACTGAGTTTTTTTTCCCTAGCCTTTTATTCTTTATAACTGCAAATTAATATGTGCTTAGTGCTGAAACTTTGGAAAGAAACAAAAAGCCTAAGGAAAATCAAAATAAAATAATTCAACAAATCCCATCATCTAGAAATCAACAATGTTTAATATGTTGGGGTACATTCAGTTTTCTGTTCAAAGTTGAGCTGATTTTTTCCTGAAAGAATAGTTCTGCCAGTCACCCATGAGATTTGATTTTATGTACTCCAGATGAACCAAAGTAAAACAGTATTCTAAGTAAGCCAGAGGTAAGAAACCACATCACCTGTTTTTATCAAATCACAAAAAGAGACTCAATAAATCTGAAGCACTTACTAATTAATTTATTTACTCTGTTGGACCAAAGCCTTCTTTTTCTGCACTAGTATGGACTATTAGAACTTACCTACATTTAGTGTACTTACATTGTTAAAAACTCATGCTCTTTTTAAAAATTTCTTCCAGGTTTTGAAGATCATGATCGCATGGATGCATCTAACCAAATTCGACCTGGGCACAATGGAGATTCTTTAGAGAACATATCTAAATTTCTGGCTAATTCCTTTGTGTGCCACTCAACATAGGACATCATTTGATGTTATCTACCTGCACTATCCTAAATTTTTCTCATAATGTTATCTTTATTAGCTTGAACTGCTTTCTTAAAATGGTCCTTCTGTTGATTCTATCAGTCCTGCTTTTGAAAGAAGATGTCCGTGGGAGTGCACAGTCCAGTGAAAGGAGGGTGGTGGCTCACATGCCAGGTGACATCATTATCGGAGCTCTCTTTTCTGTCCACCACCAGCCTACTGTGGACAAAGTTCATGAGAGGAAATGTGGGGCGGTCCGGGAACAGTATGGCATTCAGCGAGTGGAGGCCATGCTGCACACCCTGGAAAGGATCAACTCAGACCCCACACTCTTGCCCAACATCACCCTTGGCTGTGAGATTCGGGATTCCTGCTGGCATTCAGCTGTGGCCCTAGAGCAAAGCATTGAGTTCATAAGGGATTCCCTCATTTCTGCAGAAGAAGAAGAGGGCTTGGTCCGCTGTGTAGATGGCTCTTCCTCTTTCCGCTCCAAGAAGCCCATAGTAGGGGTCATTGGGCCTGGCTCCAGTTCTGTGGCCATTCAAGTCCAGAACTTGCTCCAGCTGTTCAACATACCTCAGATTGCTTACTCGGCAACCAGCATGGATCTGAGTGACAAGACGCTGTTTAAATATTTCATGAGGGTCGTGCCTTCAGATGCCCAGCAGGCAAGGGCTATGGTAGACATAGTCAAGAGATACAACTGGACTTACGTGTCAGCTGTACACACGGAAGGTAAGTCTCCTTTATGCATTTTGAGTATGTTTTATGATGCATTCAGCATCTTCCATACTAAAATTCCATGTTTGGAAGGCTAACCTGTGCTGAATAATTTTGGGTATTTTAAGTAACCTCATTTATAGCAGCATTAGTGAAAAGGATTGGATTAAAGATATCTAGAGAAACATATATTTAATATAATGGTTCATGTATCATGCTTTGGTTAAATGGAAAGTTTGAATTACCTATTGGATTGTTTTTATTTCTGTCACAGAGATGCTTTTTTGATATTTGTTTCTAGAGGTTTCTAAGTTTTCCAGATCTTTGTTGAACACCTCATATATTTAACATTTTAGATTGCTCCAAATGCTAATTTTTTCTGGTTGTTAAAGAAAGTTGTACAAAATACACGTAAGGGAGAAGAGAGTACTAGCTCAGGTGTGTTGTTATAAAGAATTAACAGTTTAGACTTACAATTGCTTTCCAATAGAATGAATAGTTAAATCTGAAATGGAGATGAGTGAATTAATTTTATCCTTGTATGGAACATTTTTGTAAGTATAATTTTAAATAATGCAGTACAATTTTGCCTTGAAGTAATTGCTTCTTTATGGTGAAACTGTAGTGAGGAAGGAAAAACATGACTGATATTTATGTGAATACTAATTTATCTTTGTTGCTTATGGTATTTAAAAGTGATTTTCAATACATTATTTATTAGTTCTTATCTAAAATTATTTTCAGTGGATTTAATTTGACTTGTAGGTAATATGACCTAAAGTGTGGTTCATTATGCAACCTTTTTTAAAAGACAACAAAATGCATATACTAAACAATAGAATACAGTGTAAGATCCAAACCATTTTTCATCAATCATTGAATTTTGTGAAGATTAGTTAAGGTTTGAAAGATTCTGTAATAATATGTCTGTATAATCCAAATCATGTGATCCTGTAAAATGTAGTGCTAAATTATTAGGAAATTATTGAAATGATCCTTGTGAGTTTATTTCAAAATTTGGAGTGAATAACTATTTAAATTCAGGAATATTTTCATTTTCAAGTGGTATAATATCATGAATTCACTCCATGGCTACCTATATATTTAGAATTCTGCACACATTAAATGTCTTCTATATAGATTAAGATATAGATCTTATATATAATCTATATATCTTCTATATAGATTAAGATTGAAATTTCCATGTATAAATTGATAGGTTGTATAAAGGCATGTCAGTTTTGGATTTTGAGCAATGGATGATTGTTTGCAATAGCAGGTATTTCAATATTTTTTCTTTACTGAGAAAAAAAGAAACATTTTTTGTTGTTGTTATTGAATACTTGGGATAGAATCCAGGGCATTATACATACTGCACGCTAGGCAAGCACTCTATTTCTGAGCTACATTTCAAGCTCTAAAAAATCCTTTTCTTGTTCTCCTCACTTTGTTGTTGTTTTGTTTGTTTTTGGTGCTAGCAATCAAACCTAGGGCCTAGTAAGTATACAGGAAAAAGAATGCTCAACATTTTAGTCTGTATGTAGAGAAAAACAACTTAAAAACTACACTGAGATTCCATCTCACCCCGGTCAGAATGGGCATCTTTATACAGAATATAAAAACAATAAATGTTGGAAAGGCTATGAAGGAAGAGGAACTCATCTAGACTGCCAAGAATGGAAGTCAGCACACTCACAAGCAGTATGCAGGCTCCTCAAAAAATGTTAACTAGTACAGCTACCAAGGAAATCAGTATGGACGTTCCTCAAAACACTAAAAGCAGAGCAACCACTTGGTCAGGTTATACTAATCCTTGTCATATGCTCCAAAGAATTAATGGCAGTAATATCCAGCCATGAAAATAACCAAATAATGTATTCTGCAGGTAGATAAATTAATCTGGAGATTTTCTGAGCCAAATAAGCCAGACACAGAAATACAAATGTATCATGCTCTGCGTAATATGTGGAATGTAAAAATTATGACAAAAAAGCAGATGAAACACTTACTAGACAACAATAAGAGAACAAAATGGAAGAGGACAGTGCTATTAGGGCAAATAATAGAGGGGAAAGGTACGATCAAAATTCATTATATACCTTGCACCTTGACCCTCCATTGAATGTGAAACTAGGGGAGAAGTGGAACAAGGGGCTGATGAGGAGGAGTGATGAAAGCCTATTATGGACAGAGGTATCCACCAAAATGAATCTCATTATCCTGTATACCCAATATACATTAAAAATGAGTGGAAAAGTCACTCAAATAAATTTGATTTAGAACTAAATCTTTCAATCACTAAATTATAGCATTAAATTATGATTTTTAAACAGAATGATGCTTTTTGTATTTTGTACCACTGATCAATAAAATAAAGTTAAAATTATTAAAAAAGTATTCTCTTAAAAATGTGTTCTCTTATTTAAACATGAAATTCTTTCTGGGAGATTTTAAAGCAAAATGTTTGATATTAAAATACATGGTTTTTCAACTCCTAGGCAAGTCTATTGGCACTGAGCTATACCACAAGGCCTCTTTTGCCCCAAGTGCTGAGGTTTTCCTCATGAAATCACCATTTCATTTGATTTTCACAATCAGCCTTAGTATAGAAATATACCATCCAAGTACATAGATAACTCCAGATACCTTATTCTTATTTTAAAATACAAAAGCTTTAAGAGTTTAAGTAATTAATTAGGTATATATTTAACACCAACTTTAGAGGCATTGTACTTAAACCCTAAGCATATATTCATGCATTATATTTTTGTTAAGCACAAACATACCAGCCTCTCGGAGAGTTTGGTGAAAGACATCCTTGTGTTTTATGCATAATGACTTTCAATGGGCTTGCAATCTGGCAAGTGGGATAAGATATGGATGAAGACTTACAAAGTACAAGTTCAGGTATCAGAAATTGGAAAGACGATTCTAAAGTTTATTGATGGAAAAATCACTTTCTTCTGTGGGGTTACTGAGATCATGGTAGTACCAATAGAGCAAGAAATGAAATTTGAAAGTTGAGTTTTACTGGTGAACATACTAAAAATTAAGAAAATATGAATATCAGTTAAAGACATGAAGAAATATGAAATGTTGGAGACCTCTTGCTCATCAGAGCAAGGCTTGGTCACTATGTGGAAGTTGGTAACCCATGATTGTTACCCAAAGGAAACTCCAAGCCATAACTTCCAGGCTGTGCTCATTTAAAAATTTATTTTAACCTAAGTACACACCAGGAGTAGTTGAATAAGCTAATAAAGTAATGATGACATTACATGAAACATTATTATCTAGCAGTTAAATTGAATGGGGAACTCTATATGTAATGAGGTAAAAATACTGACATCCAAGATTTTTTAATCAGAAAATAAAATAAGACATAGTTTTGTATATATGGTATTCTATTTATTTAAAAGGAGTTTAAATAAAAACATAAAAATTTATTGGGTATGGATATAATTAGAGAACAGAGCAATACTAAACAGTTTCTCCTTTTAGAGAGAAATTTAAGTACTTCAGGACTAGAATAGAATTAGAGAGGTTTAATTTTTGTGTACAACTTTTACATACATATAATAGAAAGTGTTTTATATGAATACATTACCTAGTACAATATATAAATTACAAAAATATTATGTTTGAAGGGAAAACATACAACAGGAGCTATGTTGACACATTCTGGCAAAATATCTGACTGATACAACCAGGAATCAGTAGAGAACAGACTTTAGTACTGAACACTCTAAAACATAAAATAATACACTTTGGGTTATTATTTTATGTGATTTTGCCAAGAAACATGTATCTTTGGTGCCAAGCAAATGGGTGGATACTGCAGTTAAGTGATATTACATTTTATCACTATGAGTGTGGCATAGTAGGAATTTTCTCACAAGGTAAAACTTACCTCGAGGGTCAGAAATGTACTTGAGTAAATAAGGTATCAAATCCTGTTGAAAGCTCTCAAATGTCGAGCAGGTTTTCTCTTCTGTGGCTATTAGGAAAACCTCTGCGGGTTCTTACGTAAAATGAAAATATCACATCTTACTTCAGCCTTTCTCTCTGGCCAAGTCGAGGATAATTTTCTTTAGTGTTAGATCAGTATCCATACCTTATAATTGATTCTGTTAGTCTTATACTCATCCTCCTTTGCTCAGTATTTAGTCCTCTTTTTTGAAAAGTGTGAATATATCTAGATGTCCTCACATGAGCCATTGATTTATAAGACAAGATGTGATCATATTTTCAACAACATTTTACTCCTCTGTTGTCCATTGATCTTACAGTTAAATGTGACAGTACTGTGTTGCTCAATCCTCTTTGCAACTAACACAGATGTTCCTACAAGAAAGTGTGAGCCATCACAGAATTCAGAGGAGAGTACCGAGATAGGTTACAGCTCTATTGAAAATCTCTTATACTAACATTCCCTGTTGTGATTTTAGTACATTTCAAAAGTGACTATTCATTGTGACTTTTTGACTTAAACTGAAATCATGCCTAGAACTTCCAGACAAAGAGATTTATAGTATAATACAAAAGCAGGAACAAAAAATAAAGCATTTTTAAGGGATGATTAAACTGGCCCTCTAACTATGTAGAGGAAAGAAAGACAAAATGACTCAGAAAAAATCTCCATGTCTTTTGTAGGATCATTCCACTCAGCAACCTCTCTGTTGAAGAGAATTTAATGGGTCCTTTGCCTTAGTAATTTTCCAAAACTTGGCATATGGCGCAGGATTGATGTGGTTCACAGTTTAAGGGGTGTGGCAGATGGATCGCATTGGTGACTTCCATTAATGGACCTGTTAAATCCACATAATTTTCCTTGTAGTTGGACAGCTCCTTTTCATCCACATGCAGCACTTGCTTGTGATTGCTTTGTTCAGTACAACTCTTTTAAGATGGGAGCATCCTTCTAAGTCTGTCTTGGACAGATTATCATCTCCTATCATCACCACATGAAGCAAAACACTCAGGTGTTCCTGATGAAGTCATCTCAGTTGTTGACA